TGATGTATTCAGCTATTGTCTGTGCCTGTTAATACGTGTATATATATATATGTGTGTATGTAAACATGTCTACTTATTTGCACATGTATGTGCATCGTAGAGGTCGCAGGGAGCGGGCAGCCGATATGACAAAGGGAAGAGGTTGCCAAGAGGCGGCCAAGTTGTTACAATCACGATGGCCGTAAGCTAACCTGGACCTCATCCATAGGGGGAAGGAGGGGGAGGCGGGAGGATCCAGAGGGGGTTCGCCGCAGTGACAGGAGGGCCCTGCAAGGGGGGAGGTCTCCAGGGGGGACGCCCAAAGATGGAGGATCTGGCGGGAGGGGGGGTGGAGGGTCCAAGGGCAGGTCCCCAGAGGGGGAGATCCAAGGAGGGGCGGCCAGGGGTGGAAATGAGGGTGGTCCACAGCGGGAGCCGACAGAGGGAGAGAGGGCCTGGAGAGAAAGGGTGGACCTTGTTGCCACGAGACCCTCCGTCGCGCCCGCCCAGGCGCTCCTTGTCTAGAGATCGAGAACCTCTGCCGACAGAGATTCCTTTGCTCCTCCCTCCTCCCACCGCAGCCAAGCGCACCCCCCCTCAGGCTGGTCACAGGGACGCCTGCTGGAGTGGGATCCTGATTCTCACGCCCATGTTGCTCTGCTGCGTCGGTTGACCTGGCCTCCCCTGGGCCACTTCAGGCATGCGCCTGCAAAGCAGCGTACGGGGCCAAACGAACACCTCGCTCCTTTCCCCCCTTCCCCCCTCCTTCCTCTCCTCCCCTTCTTCCCCTTCTGGACCTCCCCCCCTCCTTCCTCTCCTCTCCTCCCCTCCTTCCTCTCCTTCCCCTCCTCCCCTTCTGGACCTCGCCAGGTCGCCTGGGCATGGCTGGCTCGACGGGCGCAGGCAGGCGCCAGCAGGGGTGTGGTGCGCGGGGCCAGAACTGCTCCGGTTGTTTCACGCACGCTGTGGATCGTTCGTGCTTTTACGCTCTGTGCGCGCGTGTGCGTACGCGTGAGAGTGTGTGTGTGTGTGTGTGTCCTGTGGACCCCCTGTGTCCAAGGGGCGGCCGGCTCAGGCAGGATACAGTCGAGCATCCGATTCAGGAGCTTCCTCAGGGACAGCTAGGCCAGCGTTTCTCGGCCAACTTGCCAGTAAGCTGGCCCAGATTCTTGAGCACGTTCGCCTCTCAAGCGTTAATGGTCGACATGTGCCTAAGTTTGTTTCGAGAAACCTTTGGGAAACTGGCCCAGATTTCTGAAATGATACCTTTCTTGATCACATTTTTGGCTGTAAGGCTTTTACATGCATTGGAGGGGGGCAGTTGTCAGCAGATGGGGCACAGGCCAACACAAAAACCCATACGCTGGCGTGCAAACGTACCTCCATGTACAGACAGTAGGTCCTGCGGCCGAATAATGCCGTTCCTGGAGGCTTCGTCGGGTGGAGCAGGGAAAGGATCGGGGAAAGAGGCGATATCTCCTCCACATCGAGCTCCTCGGCATTGAGCCCAATCGATTCTCAAGTGTGTGTGTGTGTGTGTGTGTGTGTTTGTGTGTGCGTGCCCCCTCGTCCGCCTTCATGCCGCAAGGCCCGCGAATGCCCAAGAACCGCCGCAAGCGACCGCTTTCCCCGATCTTCTGCATACTCTTTCTTTCAAAAGCCTTCTGTTGTCACCTCATCTACAGTCGAGCATCTTATTAAGAAACCTCCTTCCGAATAGCGGGGCCAGCATTTCTTGACCAAGTTGTCGGAACATCTGGCCCAGTTTCTTGAACACGTGCAGTCCTTCCAGCGTTAACAACAGAACTTTGCTCAGGTTCGTTTCAAGAAGCCTCCGGGACGCTGGCCCGGATGTCTTAAATGATACCGTTCTTGATCACATGTTTGGTTGTACGCCAGAAAGGTGGGCAGTCATGCGGGGAGGGAAGGCGGTGACGGAGGATCGGGAGGAGGGAGTCGAGAGCGCTCACGGCAGTGGCCGGGGTGGGTTCGAAAAGCATTCGCGCAAGATGATGTCGGGACGGAGGCGGAGGGGAGAAGCGCGGCTCCAGAATACGCACCGAGTCATTCGTGTGACGTCGTCGTTTCCGCGGCGCAGCAGGAAGTAAAAAGTGTCTTCACCACATAATATCAGCCACCGTTGACTCCAACTAGAGTAGACGACTCAAATCAAGGAATCAAAGGAATCGAGCATGCTTGGAATCCGCAACTCAGCAAGCAAGCAAGCGTGCAAGCAAGGGCGCAAGCAAGCAAGCAAGCAAGCAAGCAAGCAAGTATAGGAGTAGGCATGGGAGTTAGGGGGAGGCATAGGCATAGGCATAGGCATAGGCATGGGCATAGGCATAGGCATAGGCGTAGGCGTAGGCATAGGAGTCAGGGGGGAGGCATAGGCATATGCATAGCCATAGCCATAGGAATTAGGTGGGGCATAGGAGTTAGGGGGGGGCAACGGACCAATTAGTAGGAGTTGAGTTAGAACTCCTATAGGGCAAGTCTGTCTGGAGAATATCATACCTTTCTGACCACTTCGTCCTTGCCGCCGAGTCCGTGCCTGGGGGCTGGGAAGGATGGGGGGCCGAAAGAAGAAAGGAACTGGGGTCGAGGAGTGCAGTCGCAGTGAAATATCAGTGATATTTTCCTATCTCAAATCGTTACTTCGAGCTTATCACATCTAGCGAGGGCCGTCGACTTCTGGCGACGAGGTGGGAAACTCAGTCTGCTCTCCACCGGCTTTCTTTATGTACTTCTGCCTGGTCGACATCAGGGGGTACGCGCGGGATGATTCGGCTAGAGGAAGCCTGGAACAGGGCCTGGGCTTGAGAAGGGAAGGTTACGGGCGGAGGCATATGGAGGAGGAGGAGGAGGAGGAGGAGGAGGAGGAGGAGGAGGAGGGGGAGGAGGAGGAGGAGGAGGAAGAGGAGGAGGAGGAGGAGGAGGAGGGAGGAGGAGGAGGAGGAGGAGGAGGAGGGGAGGGGAGAAGCGAGGCACGCCCGGCCGGAAGCAGAAACTCCCGGCCACCTGCAGGCGGCGTCTTCTGCCCGGCTGGGGCCTGCGGCGATGCCGGGTGCGTGCAAGGGAGGTGGGCGTCCCCAGGAGGTCTCGTCGGGTGGAGTAGGAAGAGAGTGTGGGGGAAGGAGGCGGGAATCTCGTCGGCTTCGAGTTCTGTGGCATGGTTTTCCATCAGTTCTCAAGTGTGCCTGAGGCTTCGCATGATCGAGCGTGTGTGTGTGTGTGTGTGTGTGATTGTGTGTGTTGTTTATGCTTTTTCTGCTTGCTCCTTTCATTTGCCCGCACCTCCCGCTCCTGCTTCGCCCTTCCTTGTTCTTCTATCTCTCTCGCGTTGTCCTTGTCTGACTCGCAAGCCACCGTCCATGGGTTGTAGGTCAGATGCCGCTTGGATGCCTGCGAGGGGTTTCTTGGGAGGCTTCTCAGAAACCTCCTGGAGGCGTTTTTGGGGTGTGTTCTTTCGGGGTCCTCTACTCGGGGGCCTGTTGGAAGTCTGCTAGCGGTCTTGGGGGCGGAGGGCACGACATTTCAGTTCGTGCTCCCCCTCTTGGGGTCCTCTTGGGGCCGTCTTTGGGGCCCCTTGGGCCGTCTTGAGGCCCTCTTGGGCCGTCTTGCGAGCCTCTTGGGGGCCTCTTAGGCCGTCTTGGGGCGGTCTTTGGAGCCTAAGTCGCAAGCCCGACAAGCCGAGAATTGTCTAATCTTTGACAACAAGTTTCTTGGGGAATCAACGAATTCGGCATATTGGAGCCCTCTCAGGAGCCTTCCTGGGGCGTCTTGGGGGCCTCTTTGGTCGCCTTGAGGCCGTCTTGGTATCTTGGGAGCGTCGTGGGACCCTCTTGGCCTGTCTTGGGCCTCACTATTTCCCCCTGGAAGAGTCGCGCGGGGACACGCGGGAACTTCCAAGAGCGCCCGAGAGCACCCGAGGGCGCGCCCCCGATCGCCTGGAACTCGGGATAGTGGGCCCCCCCAGGAGTATCGGAACCTTCCACACAGGTGGCCCAGAGGGACCCAGGGACGCTCCATGTCATGCGTCGGGGCACTTCTCCTCCTCCTCCTCCTGCTCATCTTCCTCAGGTGGCGAATTCACGCCCCCATCCTCATCGAGCCAGCTCGGTTCCGCGCTCTCGCCCCAGTGAATTCCGTTCTGTCTCTGCGCGTTCTGGGGGTTCTTTCTCTGGCTCTCTGTCGCTGTCTGCCTGTCTGTCTGTCTGTCTGTCGGTCTGTCTGCCTGCCTGCCTGCCTGCCTGTCTGTCTGCCTGTATGTCTGTCTCTCTCTCTCTCTTTTCCCTCTGTCTGTCTGTCTGTCTGCCTGCCTGTCTGTCTGTCTGTCTGTCGGTCTGTCTGTCCCGTCGCCCGTGGTTTTGCGTGCGAAGTCCACTTGTGGATCTACGGATTCCTTCGTTTCAAACCATGTGCGGGTGAGCGCTGCATCGCAATGTGAAGCAGTGATCTCTCTCTCTCTCTCTCTCTCTCTCTTTCTATTTGTGTATATATATATACATATACACATATATTTATAGACAAAGCAAATGCAGGAACAACATGCACATGTGTAAGAGGCTTGCGCCATTCCACCGACCCCCAGAAAAGGAATGAAGTCCAAGGGTGAGGTTTTTGGGGGCCTCTTGGGGACCCTCTGAGGGTCTCTATTGGGCCTCTTGGGGGCCTCTCCGAACCTCCTGTGAGTTTCTTAGGCGCCTGCGGGCGGTCTCGGGGGTCCTCTTGTGGGGGAGAGCTAGCAATGTCAGTTCGAGTTGCCTCTCTTTGGCCCCTCTTGGGCCCTGTCGGGCCCCCTTGGGCCATCTTGGTCGCCTCTTGGGCCGTCTTGGGACCCTCTTCGGCCGTCTTGGGGCCCTCTTGGGGGCTTCGTGGCTCGTCTTGTAGCGATCTTGGGGGCATCTTGAGCCGTGCTTGACGCTGTCAAAACCAAAAAAGCGAAGATGCTCAAAACAGGCGTTCCCCCTGCTTTGGACGATTCATGCTTCTTGGGGCTCTCTCGGGGGTCGTATTGCAGACCTCTTGGGGCGTCTTTGAAGCATCTTGGGCAGTCTTGAGGCCGTCTTGGAAGTCTGTGCGGACTCCTCGGCGTATTGGAGCCCAGCTTGGACAAGCTTAGATGGCATCTTGGGTATCCTGGAGGCCACGGACTCTAGATTTGGAGGCCCTGGAGGCCCCAGGGATGCGTTTCTGAGCTCGACCCCCTCTACTTTCATTGGATTTCAGGCCCCAGGGGAGGGGGAAAGGGGGGGGATACAGCCAATCATCTCACACGCGTTTGCACCCCCGGCAAGCGAGGGTCGGCGGATTTGCTTGCACTTGACCCTCCAATTCGCGTGCGTTCGTGCACGCGTACGTGCGGGTGCTTGAGCGCGCGCTGTCGTGTCCTCGCAAGTTGTCCAGCTGCCTCCGCCATGCAAGCCCAGCATTCTGGGTGGCGACTGTTCGAGGGGGGAACGGGGGGCCGTCACGTGTGACACCTCCTGTCTCCAGGCTTGGGAGAGCCGTGATGATGCTGCTGCTGATGAAGATGATGATGATGATGATGATGATGATGATGATGATGATGATGATGATGATGATGATGATGATGATGATGATGATGATGATGATGATGATGATGAGGATGAGGATGAGGATGAGGATGAGGATGAGGATGAGGATGATGATGATGATGATGATGATGGTGATGATGATGATTATGATGATGGTGATGGTGATGATGATGATGCTGATGATGATGACGATGATGATGATGATGATGATGATGATGATGATGATGATGGTGGTGGTGGTGGTGGTGGTGGTAGTTCTGATGATGATGCTGATGATGCTGATGCTGATGCTGATGCTGATGCTGATGATGATGAGGAGGAGAAGGAGGAGGAGGAGGAGGAGGAGGAGGAGAAGCAGGAGGAGCAGGAGGAGGAGGAGGAGAAAGAGGAAGCCGTCACATGTGACACCTTTCATCTTCACGATTTGAGGAGCTCTCATGGAACTCGTTTGGGCCGTCTTGTGGCTGTCTTGGCCTCCAGTGAGGCAGTCTTGGGGGGCCCTTGGGGCTTCTTGGGCCGTGTTGGGGCCCTTGGGCCATCTTGGGCCATCTTGGGTGCCTTTTGGGCCCTCGTGGGGTCCTCTTGGGCCATCTTGAGATCCTCGTGGGGGCTTCTTGGGCCGTCTTAGGGCCATCGTGGAGGGTTCTTGGGCAGTCTTGAGCTGACCGGAGCCCGAAAAGACGAGAATGCCACGATCACTCAAAAACCAATAGGAACCCAATTATTTTGGCTTCTTCGGGCCCTGCCTCAGGCATCTTGGGCCGTCTTGAGGCCGCATTCGGCCGCCTTGGGGCCATCTTGGCCCGTTTTCGAGACATCTTGGGCCATCTTGGTTGCCGCGGTTGCCTGCTTGGGCCATCATGGAAGCTCGGGATGCGGACGCATTTTACGAAGGACCGTGGCTTTGGGAGAGCGGACCCATTGTGTTTTTTACGAGTGATCGTGGCCTCGGGAGCATGGGTGATTCATGAAGCCGTCAGGTGGTACAGGGGTGGACGAGGGGGGTGTTCCCTGAGCAAATTACAAACATCATACAGAGCAGCACCTGGTTTTCTAACATGCCCACATCGTGCAGGCTCGGTGTCGGATATGTTCGTGCGCGTTCACGCCTTGTGCCCACACGCTCATGGGTACGATCTTCTCCCAAGGTGCGATGGTCTGGTGACCGATTGGAGCAACCTGAAGAAGGCGTGCGCGCGAGAAGTGCCCCTGACCGCCCGTCGCAGATGCAGTTCTTGCGCGGAGAGAGAGGGCGGAAGCCTTGGACTCAGGCGTGGGGTTATGAGGGTTTTGGGGACGGGGGGAGGAGGAGGCTCAGGAGGAGGAGGAGGAACATAAGGAGAGCGAGGAGAGCGAGGAGGAGGCTCAGGAGGAGGAGGAAGAGAGCGAGGAGGAGGAGGAAGAGGAGGAGAGGAGGAGGAGCCCTCCTCGGATATCAGGGAAAGGACAATATGTTGACTCCGCAAGTGGCAGCGTTTTTTGTATGTTTTGTTTTTGAAGTATATATATATATATGTCAAAAACTTTTTTTTTTTTTTTTTTTTTTTTTTTTTTTTTTTCTCTCTCTCTCTCTCGTTCTCTCGCTGTCTCTCTCTCTCTCTCTTCTTTTTGTTTGTTCTCTCTCTCTCTCTCCGGCAGGGGTTTCTTGTACACAAGACTTCGGCTTCCGCATGGCTGCCCGTGGTTGAACGCTCGCGCGCGTATGTGCCTGGAGTCGCCACCCAACGTCCATTTCGATCCGATCGATCCGATTCGATACCGATTTCGGCCGGCCCGATCCAATGCGGTTCCGCTACTCTGGCGACGCGATGCGTCCCCATGTTTGCATAGCGCTTCTGTGCGTCCTGGCGCGGCCGGATCGATTCGATTCCGATTCCGTGCCGATGTGGGCAGCCCGATGCGATGCCTGTCCCGATTCGACCCGATTTCCCTATCGATGCTGATTGAACCCGCCACCTCTCGA